AGGATAGAAATAAAAACTTAATAAAACATCCCCATAAAAAGAAAAATAATACAGAAACAATCATATAAAAAGGATAGGGAAAGGAGGGGAGGACAGGTGTGAAGAAATGTAGAAGTTTCTGACATTGATGAGGAGGTGTGAACCAGTCGCGGCAAAGCTACATGGCGGTTGGATGGATGATGCACCCCACGTTTCTTTCTCTGCACAACTTCAACACGCCTCTCCCATTTGGGCTCTCTTTAGGCCCACACTTTATCCCCTTTTCCCAGAAAAAGCCCACAAAAAACTATGTCTTTCTCTGTTTACTTTTATTAGAAAACAACATGAATTGAGTTACTCTTAACAAATCAAAAAGAGAGTTTGTTTACACAAGCAAGAAACTCCATTTGCAATTCACATGAGATTAGTTCAGGAGAGTATAGAGAGGAAGACGGTTGACCACACGGTGAGGGCTAAGGACGCAACCAGGTAGGTCCACAAGAATATGACCGCGCACTCATCTTGAGCCACGTCGAACAGCTGTGCCATTGTGCCTGCAATACATAGCATAAATGATTTATTACTTTATCCTGCCTACTTGGCTTTAGCTAGCCAAATGTTTTCGAGCGGGTCATTACTGATATTCATGGCAGGCGGCAGTGTGAACTGAAGCATGAGAACGTATCGGTAGAGAGGGTCCTGAGGAAGATAGCCAAGATTCCATGCCAGATGGACCACCCCGACCCCAACCACGGGAAGGATGATATAGCGCACACAGATCACTCCCACAATCACTGATGTTTTCACCGATGAGGAACGCAGGCCCTGAATCAGGTTGCCCCCCAGTATGAGTGTGATGCAAGGAATTGTGCCCTCCCTGCCAAGTCAAAAAAACCATCATCATGTACATGTTTCCATATCTAAAAACCATCCCAGAGCTCTCTTAACCATCCATACCCTAGTAGTTTCACTGAATCTTGGATGACTCGCAACGGGGCATTCTCCCCGATTATGAGATTCCTCAGCCAATTGGTTGCTCCGAAGAGGAAACCAAGAATCTGATTATATATGGATCAAGAAAACAACAACGCATCAGAGCAGCGGATCTAGTCATTTCTTATTGATTGGAGAATAAAAAAGAAAAAACAAGACTTACGGCACCAATGGTGGGTGGTGCGAAGAGTTCCTCAAGAATCTGATGGAGCAAGTCCTTGATGTACGTCCGAGTGGACCCCTTTTGTTTGACTTGGATTTCAAGGTCTTGGTTTTGGGGTGGCTTCAGGAGAAGAGTGCGGGGATCGGAGTCCATGTCCTTGTTTGGAGACTTGACCAAGCCGGCGGCTGCAAGAGCTTTGAACTGTGTAGCAGAGCTTCTCACCAGTTGATAACTGTAGGTCCAGATGTAGAAACCTCCAAGCTGCGCTTGGCATAAAAATACCACAATTAATTGAACAAGTCATAGCAGAGAAGATGATCATACATATATTTATGTTTGGTTTGACATATTACGGCCATGGAGAAAGACGCATAGGAGAGTCCAATGGTTCTGCAGGCACTCCGACTTCCAAAAGGACTGCCTTCCTCGTCACATATGGCAGGAACCAGGATAAGCATAAGGTTTCCCATATTGCCTACATCGTATAAATTCATGTCTCATGTTAGATTTCAGGAATGCATAAATTTTGAGCATTTTATGTCTGACGTAATGTAATTACCTGAGGCACAGATCGCGATTATGAGACCATGAAGTTGAGGTTTAGGGTTCAGCACTTTGACCAACAGCCAACCAAGAATGCCTCCTACTAGAAAGGTGATTCCAACATTTATGGGCATAAACCACCTGAAAAGTATTGTTTGTTTTAATTCAAATAATCAAAGCCATATGGTTTCTAATAACTAGGGGCCGGGTGAGTGAAGAAGGGCAGTACGTCGTACCATGAAATAATGTCCTGCAGTGTAACTGTCTGGGCAAGATTGGCAAACATGATGCAGGGGGTGAAGACCACGAAGACGAGCTGCAAAAGATATATTCGTTAGTATTCTAGTGCATGGATGGTCAATAAAAGGGGAAAAAGCAGAGATGGGCGGAGGTTGTACCTTGTTCACGGATCTTCGGGTGTCTGCAGAGAGAAGAGAGCAGTAATCGGTTGCCAAGAAGGCACCAAGAACGCTGATAAGCAGAACTTGGACGATTGGCATCGAAGCCACCTCCAACAATTCTAAGAAACCCATCCCTAATTTTTTTGTTTTTTTTAGGTACCTTGCAGAAGAAGAAAAACCAGCCAATGTAAGGTATGTGGTGAAAGCTTTGATATTTCTGCCTGCCTGTCTGTTTAGAGTGGTGGAGATGGAGAGAATTGATAGGTATATATAAAATACGTAGAGGAGTGGGGTACATGAAGAAGAGTCCAACTTTTCAACAAGAGGAGAAGGCAGACAAGTAAGGGGATTACAAGGACAAGTTGGCTTCTGAGTAGTGTTGGTCTCAGGTGGTGCACATGACATGTGAATCACATGGACATCCCAATTTAAAGATTCAAAGGGACGAGAGGCTTTTGGTATTCTCTCAGGTTACTGTTGACAGAATCAAAGCAAGACTCGTCGTCATGGTCTAGTTGTTCCCCATGGCCATCTATAAATCTTTAATCTATATTTAAACAATTTTCTTGTCTTTCTTTCCAGTTATTATTTTTGTGCTTTATCATATCTTTAAAGGCCTCCAGTTGATATTTTTTCAACCAGTATTATTATTCGAGCGAAGGAGGCAAACGTTACGTAACCCAAGCTGTCACAAACTGACATTTTTTCCAAAGTGGCCAGTTTTGACCTTTTTAATCGTATATTATCAGTTTTTTATTGATGGCTAACATAAAATCTGTGAAACATCCTTCCAAAGTGACGCCCAAGCTTCAGCGATACCAAGTCCACCATACTCATCATTCTCTCTACTTTATATTAATACATAAAAATTATAAAATTGTCAACTGTGATTTGGGAGACTTTCGCAACAAGCAACTCTGCTATGCTGGTCCCAATTCCCAAGTCCCTGCCCAACACATACACACATGGACACCAATGTAATTTAATTTCATGAACTCATACTAATTTCTAACATAACAAATAGTGAGATGTTAAAAGAAACTTATGGGATCAAATTAATAAAAATAAGGAGATACTACCGTCGTCTGTTGTATATATACGTATTTATCTTAAGATTCAATTAAACTAGAACATAGTCAAATATTGATTTAAACAAGAAAAAGTAAGAATAATGAGAGAGACCAGGTTTTGTGGTGGAACTAGTCCGGGAGATAAGAAGTAGCATCATGACTCGGAAATGGCGTGTCTACTTACGGGCACAGATTACTTTTATATAACAAAGATAACAGAAGATAATAATAGTTCATGGTTAAATTGATAGGCCTAGAAGTGTGTGTGTGTGTATGTAGGCATGAGGCCTAAAAATGGGCCTAGCCCATTTGTTTCCACATAATTTGTACACGGCATCAGTGTGTCACAGCGCCACGCAGAGCTAATGATTCTAGGATTCATTTCCTCGTAACTCACCTTCGGAGAGTAGTACATTCTGAAGATTTGTATCCCTGAAAAGGCTTGCAGCATCTATGTTACCTTGTCCAGCTCCTCCTACTACTACTCGTGAGCAAGACAAAAGCTACCGCAGACATCTCTCTCTCTCTCTCTGTCACTGGTTTGCACCAGCTGTACATCCTATTGTTTTTCATGGCTGTCTTTCACATTTTCTACAATTTCATCACCATGATGCTTAGCAAACTCGAGGTAGGACAAGCCTGGCTTCCTTTTCCTAAAACCCCTGGCTATTCAACATTTTCTTCTACTGCAGATCCATCAAGATTCAGGTCTATTCATGAGACCTCCTTCGTTAGACAACATTCCAGTTTCTGGACAAAAATTCCTTTCTTCTTTTATGCTGTGAGAAGCATGTCCCTCTTCTTTAGCAAACCCTCACGGCATATGATAAAAGTTATTGTTGAAAAAAAAAACCATTTATGTTTTCTCAAACTCAACCATCGATCTGATGTATGGAGAATAACTAAAGAGATGTCGGCCGAGATAACTAGAACACGGATATCGTGCAAATATGCGTTACTGCCAGAATCTATCACAAAACATGAAACAAATTTTGATAAAGTTGTACAGAGAAAGGATTAAACTGTGGTTCATGCTCATCTCCAGGCTCACTCGGGTTCTTCCTCGTCATCACTGTCACCTCCAAACATGGAAGCCATTTTCATTGCTAGATTTGCCGCTATTTCCCTCCTCTGGAAATCAGGCATCAATCGCAAGTTGTCACGGATGTTCCCTATCTCGGACATCAACTGCTCCACGTCTCCAAACTCATAAGATTTGTCGTTTTCTATGTCCAAAGGTTTTTCATCTGTTACTACAGCTCTTGTTCTGCCAGTCTCATTCAGAGGCTCTATCATTGTCCCTGAAGGCCTTGGCTCTTCATCCACAACTTTCTTTGGTTTCACCATATTATTTTCCTGTGAAGTGGATCCGCCAGCATCTGCGTATGAATGGGTTTCACTTGCAGAAACCCATCTTTCATCCATGTTTTCCCATGGATCAGCGGAACCTGGTGATAGCACTTCATACTCCAATTCGTATTCAGATTCTTCTTCTGACAACTCTGACAAGGAGGAAATATGGAACATGAGTCCAATGGGAAGCCTTACTATATATATATATATATATATATATATATATATATGGGAGTAGAAAACTTTAAAGGAGAAAATAACCTTCGACAAGAGGTAACACGGGCTCATGTATCTTATCTCCTGATTTCAGAATCATTCCAGGCCACATATGTGCTGAAAGAGCCCCAAATAGACGTTCAACCCCTTGAGAATCCCCATCAGCTGATAAACCTACAAGGACCAACCCCTGAGTATCATTAATGCTACAGACGAATGCATATTCTCTGCTCCTTATTGTCTGAAGAAACAATACCACTTAGTAACTTACACTTATCAAAATCAGGATTAGATGCACAAGCCTCAATGAACTCGATGTTGTTCTCGCAGCACCACTCAAGACATGCTCCCCGGATATCCAGTGATGAATCTTCTTCGCTTCCCAAAAGACTACTTCCTTCAGTTACGGAGATCCCAAACTCTGAATACAGATTTCCAGAGGAGTCTGTTGCCTTCAAAAGACGTCTTCTGTATTCATCATGAGCTAGGTGGTGAGGGATAAGATCTACTTTGTTCCCAATGCACAACAAGATATCAAAACTGTTGATGTCAGTATGAGAAACCCAGTCTTGAAGAGCAGCAAGAGTTGACAGCTGCAAAGAGCGGGTAAAAGGGGTTATGAGGGGTTACGCGGACGGTAAGGTGAGAATAAGGAGTCACAGGCGTCTCAATGACAATTGACAAACCTCACTCAAGTCCAAGACCATAACCAGCGCCACCAATGGATAGGAGCGAGGGAGCTTGGGCAGAGAGTAGCCATCGCAGATATGTGATATCCATACAGAAACATCCGCAGTGTAATACTTAGTGTTAATCGTCCAGCTGCCCACAAAGTTCAAACAATCCTAAGCAATTCTCCAGGAAATGGGTGCAAAGAGAAATCGCCATCCTTACCCATGAACTTCTGTTTGAGCTGATGACTCCGATGAATCCTCAAAATCGACTGAGAGCAATCCTGTGATTAATCACAGCACATCCAATAAACACTAGAGCGAGCAAAACAAATCTACAAAAGCTTGACCAGTAAACTGAAATCGGATCCAAAGGAAGAAGAATCGCGTACGAGAGAGGAGGGTGTGCTTGCCAACGCCGGAGGATCCGACGACAAAAACTCCCGGTCGGCTCTCCATCATTGTCATCTCGGAAGCCTCCATCTTCGCCGGTGTTCGATATCGACGTTCTGATTAAAGAATAAGATGAGAGTGAGAGAATGCAGATATATTAGAATTCTTTTTTCTTAACAGATTTTATAATACCCAACACAACAGGCCCAATACAATGAGAAAAAAGCCCAGTTAGATGAAAACAATTAAAGACGTAAACAAAGAAGCAACAAGACCTGAATAACTCGAAGATGGTGCAGATTTCGAAAACGCTAGAGAAACTTAAACGTAACTGGCATAGCATGTATATCTGCTCGAACATAAACGATCGTTCCAATTGAAAGAAAAACAGTTGTTACAAACATAAGACAATAGAAAGGACAACATAGCAGACACTTCAGGTAAGGAAAAATAGCACTCTGGTTGAATATGTGTTAACCGCAGATGGCTGAAACCAAAGTCGCGTGATTTCTACTTGGCGGTAGAGTTGGCCTGTGGTGCTGAGGGAAAAACAAAGACACTTGACGCAACCGCAGATGGCTGAAACTCTGCAGAATATCGCACTGACGTCAAAGTTATCTTCGGAAGTTGCTGTTGACCGCAAGTCAGGGGTACGAGCTTATAGCTTAAGACGTGTTCTGACTTGGGAAGGACTGAAACCGTATTGCTGTGAGACCCAGACAGGACAAAACTCTGTGCATCAGCCAGAGAAAACTTTGCTTCTTGGAGCAACTGCGTCTGGTTGCAGATTCTAACGGCGTAAGTGAAGGGTTCTCCAAGAATGGCATACGGTGGACAGTTGAGACTCATTACCAGTGGTGATGCCTCCACATTTACTTCAGGAAGTTTGTGTTTTGTTGAGACAAATGCCTCCGTTGTGTTACCTCCCTGCCTCCTCCATTTTAGATGTACTGATCCCAAACCAAGCTTTGGAGTTCTCGTTGTAGGTATGACTGTGAAAACCTTTTTGAACTCTTCCCCTGGCGCAAGATTGGCAGAGCCTGGGGTATCTCCACGCTCACCACCCTGCTCAATCAAACATGATGTTTCCCCTTCCTCCTCATCCAATTCAATCGACATGGACACCAGTTGCAGTGCTATCTCTGTGCTGTTTTTGGCACTGACAACTAACACGCTTTTTTCGTTCAGCGGCAGAGAAGGCATGTCCTCAGAATCAGGGGCTGGCTTTATCTTACTGAGCAATAAGTGGTCCCTTCTATATGGCAACATAAACCGATTGCTGATGAAAAGAGGCATCTTCCCTTCAATCTGCAAGCTCTTGTGTATGTGAACTTTTTGGGCACTGGCTTCACTGCCATGAGGCAAATAACCCAATGACACAAAAAGCATGACAGGCTTGGGTCTATGCCACTTGATTTGTAGTTTGCAGGACCATGATTCCCCTACCTCCAGGTCTGGAACAGAAACCAGCCCAAAAGATTGCTGAATTTTCTTTATGTTCCCTGTTTCTGTCTCAGATTCATCGTTGCCCTCTGTCCCATCAATACCACAGATTTCGACATGATGGCTCTCTAAAGACAATGGTTCTGCTTCTCTTGGGCTAAACAAACCACCACCACCCACATCAACTAGATTAATCTTCAATTCACCACTGTATACAGCATGACCCTTTGAAGATACCTCAATAGGCATCGTAAAATCTTCTCCAACTAGGGCAGGACCAGAGGCACCCAGACTGACGTCCACCTGTGGTTCAGGTTCTTCAACTTGAGTAGCTTTCTGGCCAAAGAATGCAAGAACAGGGTCCTTTGTTGGCAGAGATTCCACACGATTCTCATGCTTCCAGACAGGCAAATCCTCCATTGCAGCAGGACTCTCGGCTCTTGAACAGATCGTGAAAAGAGGCCCCAATTTCGCGAGAATTGAAAGACACTCAAGCTTGCCGCTTTGCTCTGCAGATGAAACAAAGAAATGCGGGAAACGTTAATCCTGGAAGCAAAAGAAAACCAAGAAAGTACCACTTAACCCTTTGGTTCAGTAAACTATATACAAGTTCTGTAGATTCAGTTCTGCCCAATGGTAACTGCCCAATGGTAACTATGATTATGAAAACTTCTAAACAGGTTTGAATTTTAACGAATAAACTCAATACGTGCAAGTGTGCGTGTGAGATACAAACAACACACTTTTAACTAAATCACACTAACCAGACTTGATTGCATATGTCAACCTTAACCAATTATTCGGCACAAGCACCAGCGACAGCTCATCCTCTACTTGGCTACCACTTTGCACGGTGCTAGACCCAGAGGTCTCTTTAGGCCTCTGGGAATTTCTTATGACAAAATTGCATGCTGGTTGATTGAACTGAACTTCTAGATGATCTATTTCGACTGGAAGAGGTAGATGGGATAGCAGTGACAACGTTATAGAGCACAAAGCACTAGGCTTGATCATTTGCTCGTGAAAAGCAACTGAGGCTATGAAAACAGGTCTGAGAGGACTAACAAGATCAATCTCAAGATGAAGAGGGCTATCAGTGGCTAATCTGAATCCATTTTCTGGGGTAGATTGTATAAGCTCAGCTTCGCGGCACACAAGAGTAAAAACTTCTCGATGTATACTCTCTCTTCCTGAAATAGTTGCAGGACCTCCAGGACCATATTTTTTGTTTCCCAAGTTCCCAGAAGCGTCATAAGATGTTACAGGCAGTGTAACCATTTCAAGGGACAGCTCCACAAAATCTTTAAAAGCACCAAGGTTTCTCGAACACTCTCGCAGGTATCCCAGCACTTCCCAGAGCAAAGTTACCCAGCCTTCTTGTCTGTACAAGTTTGCAGCAATATCGAAAAATAATTTTGCGTTGCTGAGATCAGCCAAAGCAAAGTACTCCCGGGCTACTTCAAATGCACAGAGAGCAGCCATCCTCCGGGCTTTAAGGTCGAGAAATGATTCATAAGATCTCTTCAGCCAAGCAATAATTTCAAAGGAATCCTGAAATCTCTTTGCTTCTGATATTATATACCGTGTGTACTCTTCATCCGTTATACTGCAAAAATATTAGGAAAACTTGACTTAATAGGGGTAGCATAGTCAATATTTCAACATGGAATTGTGGGGTGAATTACGAAGAACTTACGAATGAAGTGTAAGAACTTCTCCCTTCTCAAGTAGCTGAGCAAACTGACCCACATAGACTGAAGGAGTAACGGACTCAGAGCTGCTATCAATCTCTTGTGCTGTTTTAGACATGGACAGCAACAGTTCCAGGGCAGATTTCTTATCCTTCAAGTAATGGGCAGCCAACTGCTTGGAGAAAGAAGTTTTTCCAGTGGATAAGATTAAATTATACTTTCAACATACTGTGCTAAGGCACAGCAGAAGCTCAGAAAATTCTGAGATAGGAGTTTTAGTTTATATAGTTGTTTTAGGAGAAATGGTAAAACAGACAGATAAATCTAACACCCAACGCAGCACCGAGTGTAGATTTTGTTCTGACGACGAGTTAGATAGAGAGAAATTGATTGACCTGATAATAATAGGCAGGATAAAACTCGAACTCAGTCAAAGGCATTTCCGAAGTTCCTTGGTTTAAGGATGAAAAGCTCTGAACAGTTGCCGAGCTTGTCTCCAGCAACTCAGCAAAGACAAGAAACTGCCTGCTCATCCATTCCCAATGGTGAAAAATAAATTCTGTGGACCCAACAACCTTCTCATATGATGCTTTATGTTGATGAAACCATGTCACCGCTTCTACGAGCTTTCCACCGTGCAACAAAAGCGTTGATATTTTGAAATGCAATTGCTCAGCTATGGTCTTGATCTCAACCAAGCGTTGTACTGCAGGCAACCTAGTTGATGTCCCGATCATCTGTTTGCATAAACAAAACTCTCGTCAAATTTGCAAATTGCACAAGGGTGGGGGAAGACGAAATAAACAGTGATGAAAGATACCTCGTGCAAGGAATGGTACGCTTCTTCATAAAACTTCAATGCCTCACCCCAATCTCTACGAAACTCTGCATATACAGCGACCTAGCAGTCATGGCATGAATGAGCCTTCCTTTTCCCAGATAATTTGAAACCAAATGATTCGACTGAGAAAAAAACTTACTTTGAAACAGTAACGAACATTGGAATCAATAGAGTTGGAGCTCCTTTTCTCAGCTCGACTTTTGATTCTCCTTCCTTCTTCTCTGTAATACGCAAGCGCCAACTCTGCAAATGCAGAAGCGATTCTGCAAATACATTGCGTTGAAGGAAAAGCCTCTTGGTGCAAAATAGAAAACAGGAAAAGAGGATAGAGACATACCTGGAGAGAGAGAGTGTGAGTTCAGAGTCTGTGCTGGAATTGACGAAGAGCACGTACTTCGAATCTAATTCTGCTCGCTTTCGCAATGCCAGTAGACGATCTTCGCTAATTTCCTCTAGAACAAGTCGGAACAGAGTAAGCCACGAGTCCCGGGAGGTTATTTGTAAAAATGAAAAACAAATAATCGGAAAACGTTACCCTGGGGAGAAGACTGGACCACGACGACCACCAGTTTGATGTTTTTAGGACGGATTATGGATCTGGCAATGGAGATCGCATTGTTAGATTTGAGGTTTAGAAACAATGGGACAAGGAAACAAATAAGGGAGAGTAGATGAGGAAGTACTTTAGGCTGTCGAGATCGGAGCAGACCTGTAGCCATTGTGTTGGATCGCCGAAGATGTCATGTGAGGGAAAGAAGGCGGCGACCAGTGCAGGGACTTTGGTGCGATGCTTAAGCAACCAGTCCCGTTTCAAGATGCCGCCGGATCTGGAAGGATTGGGAGAAGAGGGATCAGAGACGCTGAGAGGATCTCTGAAGGACGACGAGGAGGTTCGGTTGATCTTATCATCATGAGCAAGAAGTTGAGATAGGTGGGAAAAATCGGGGAAGGCCAGGGCGTTAATAGGAGGCTGCTGGGAGTGGAGATGCTTAGTGATGGACGCGTGTAACTCTGGGTATCCGAAGAGAGCCACCAGGCTTACCGGCGGCGTTCTGAGCTCTTCCGGGTATTCCTCCATCTCGCCGGCAAGTGTCTGAGAGTCGGACGCGTTGAATCGCGAGAAAAGGAAGGGAGGATCTGAAACACTGCGTGGGCTTTTAACGGGCCTATAATTAATGCACTTGTTGGATTTTATTTTTAAACTCATGCCCATTATAAGCCCATGATAACCCCACCCGGTTTAAATTTGTAGGAACTTTTACACGAATACAAAGTAATAAATTCAATACAAAATGGAAGAAAGAATAAGTGCAAGTAGCGGTCAGCTGGAGCGCTTGATGAAATCAATGCAGTCTGCAATTGCATCAGCGTAGAAAGAAGAGTTGGAGCGCCGTAGAGGTGTGTAATAATGGCCGTCGACTTCTCTGACCAGCGGTGGCCTTGGCCTTTTGCAGCACCAGCTCCTGAGTAGCCTGAAGAAGCCTCTCACTCTCGCACGCAATCTCTTCGCCTTCGGGCTCACCCTGATTCCTCTTCCACTTGTCCATCGTTTCTTAACTCCTCCCATTTCTTGTACGGTTTCTATATTGTTGAGATTGTATTGTATTGTGGTGAGATTACATTATACTAATATATACAGGATATCGAGATAGCGATGACTTTTATGTTTGACTTTCAAAGGTTGGGTAGGTTGTTGAGAATTTGAAACTTTTTTAAAGAAAGAAGAGAGACTTTTTTGAATGATTAACCACGTGTCACTTTGTACAGGGAGGTTGGTAAAAGCTGGAAACTTGGCTTCCCAAAAAAGGAAAAAGTCAAAATAAAAATAAAAAGGGTTCCCCTTCGTTGTAAACATAAAACATGTATAGCGTGTTCGTTAAATCTGAGAAGTAATAAACAACTCTACTCGTGCAAAGTTCATTCTATTCACTTTTTCATACACACCACCACAAATCATTGGCAAACACACGTGAGATGAAATAAAAGTAACTCACCGCAGTGCTTGCACGTTGTTGCAACTTGCAAGAATTCTGAAATTGAGTTGAAAAACTCCATTTTCACTGTATAATTAAAAGAAAGCCCATTATCAAAAACCAATTGTTCTGTATAGCAAGACGACCTTAAGGCCCAACATCGATTCTCCAACCGAATGTTTAGCCGTTCCGGGGAGGATTAGATACAGAGAGAGGGGAATTCCGAATTCTGATCGGACAGAAAGAAGAGAAGAAGAAGACGGCAGTAGTCGAGATGGCCGCCTCTCACGCTCAGGTCTCAGAGGTTTTGGTGGAAGAGAAATCGAGCGTTAGAATCCTGACACTAAGCAGGCCCAAGCAGCTGAATGCTCTGTCCTTCCAGATGGTATTGAATCTTCCCTTGTTCCTCCCTTTCGTGCATTGCTTACATTTTGGCTTCAATCAATCTTCTCTAGATCTCTCGGTTGCTGCCACTGTTCCTTGCATATGAGGAGGACCCTAGTGTGAAACTTGTCATCATAAAGGTAATCACTATCCTTTTATTGATCTCTTCAGTCCCGGTTGTGCGCATTTTAGTAACTCTGCCACAGGGTCAGGGAAGAGCCTTTTGTGCTGGTGGCGATGTTTCAGCTGTTGCTCGTGACATCGCACAAGGTATATGAATCATGATCACCCTCCCAGCTTTCTTTTTCTTTTCTTAGTTTCAGCTTTTCTCTATTTTCGTGGACTAGGCAAATGGAGACTCGGCGCCACTTTCTTTTCAGATGAATACATGCTCAACTATGTTATGGCCACGTATAGCAAACCTCAGGTCTCGGCATACTGTCCTTGTTGTGAATTGTGAATTGTGAATTACTCAAATTGTATGAAGCTCATTTTCATTTGTTCGTTTTAAAATGATAGGTTTCAATTTTGAATGGTATTGTCATGGGAGGCGGAGCTGGTGTCTCTGTCCATGGTCGATTTCGCATTGCAACTGAGAACACGGTATATTCTCTTAAAACTTGTCCATGGATGACAAATAGTTCCCTCTGAAATATATGCTCATATCTTTCGAGTTTCTCCAAGGTATTTGCCATGCCTGAGACAGCTCTGGGGCTCTTTCCAGATGTAGGCGCCTCCTACTTCTTGTCAAGGCTCCCTGGATTTTTTGGTACCATAAGTGCCTCTCCTTCAAATCCACAAAAAAAGTCTGAGCCTATATCTCCCTCTCTCATTCTCCTGTCTTCTTGTGCAGGAGAGTATGTTGGGCTCACAGGAGCTAGGTTAGATGGCGCCGAAATGCTTGCTTGTGGTCTTGCAACTCATTTTGTGCCTTCAACGGTATCAACTTCCTTTGTTTACGTCTTTGGCATGATTGCAACTTGACAACATTCTAAAAACGAGAATACCATTGTATTTCTTGGAACTAGTGGACTATGATAGCTGCTGATGCAAAACTTGTTGTCGGGTTTTTAGTTCAACTGGCACAATGGACATAGGAATACTCTTTAAGATAGGTGTTTGCTACTTATAACTTATGATTATCGATAACCAAACTTTTCAGTCTGTAAATTTTCCTCCGACATTCTCAATGACTCTTACAGTTCAGACTGTTTATAGCTACTGTTGTTAAGCACTATTTGCTTGGCCAAGGATTGTTACTTAGTAAGGTTATTCTTTGTGACAGAGGTTGACTGCATTAGAGGCAGATCTTTGCAGAGTTGGATCAAGTGATCCAACTTTTGCCTCAACAATTCTCGATGCATACACTCAGCGTCCGCACCTGAAGCTGCAGAGTGCTTACCACAGGCAAGTGTATATGGTTTTATCTCTTATACTTTTTCTACTTGTGCATGGATTTGCCAAGTATATTTTGTCATGCCAAAATCCCAAGCACTCTAAGTCACTTGCTGAGATATTTGCTTGTTTTGTAATTGATCAAGATTTCACTCCATGCTTTATACATTTAAACCTTGTAGTGTCAGTTTTCAATCGTTCTTTTTAACAGAAATTTGTGTCAACTGTTTCTTATCTTTCCGTTTGTTTCTTTACGCAGATTAGATGTTATCGATAGGTGCTTCTCGAGGAAAACAGTGGAAGAAATTATATCTGCACTTGTAAGTTTTTCATTAATATATAGACTATGTCGACTTGCGATCCTGAGTTGGTTATATTATACCATTGATATTATATGTGTTGGTTAGGAAAGAGAGGCTACTCAGGAACCAGATGATTGGATGTCAGCTACCATTCGGGCATTGAAGAAGGCATCGCCAGCAAGCCTTAAAATCTCACTTAGATCGGTTAGTTTCGCAGAATGCATCACATGCAATGATGTCAAAGAGCTGACTGTGAATATATTTCAGATAAGAGAAGGAAGATTGCAGGGGGTGGGGCAGTGTCTGATCCGTGAGTATAGAATGGTGTGTCATGTGATGAAGGGCGAAATAAGCAAAGATTTTGTGGAGGTTTTGTCAGCTTTCCCTTCCTCGTGAAACTTTCCGACCAAAGTTACAAGAGCTTGTCTTACTTATGCAGGGGTGCAGAGCCATACTAATAGACAAAGATAAGAACCCAAAGGTTTAACAAATCTCTTCCCTTTACTACTGGTTGTGTGGTTATGTCATAAACATAAAACAGTATGATAATGGCTAGACTGAAATATGCAGTGGGAGCCATGGCGACTGGAGGACATGAAGGATAGCATGGTAGAGCAGTACTTCAAGAGAGTGGATGAAGAGGAGGGATGGGAGGATCTAAAGCTTCCGCCAAGGAAAAACTTGCCTGCTTCAGCGATTGCAAAGCTGTGAAGTGGAGAAGGTGATGGAGCACTATGGTTGAGGTCTAGAAAAGAAAATAAATGTTACAAGGCTTGTGTTGAATCGGCCTTGCATACATAAACTTAGTGCAAAACAAACAGGAAACAAAGAAAAATATTATTGTATTGAGACTTGAGAGATGACACCAAAGCAGATGTTAAGATTGGTTTATGGTGTTGGAGGCACAACCATGGCCAATGGACGTGGAGGCACGTCTCTTTTTTTTGGTTTTTTTTTTTTTTTTATCATTCATTTACTCTGAGTGACTCCTTCGACTAACTTCCATCATTCATCTTCTTATACAACTAATCAAGGAATAAGCTAAATATGAGAAATTCAACTGAAATCGTGAAGTATTGAATGGGAAGAAGGAGCAATTAAAAAACTCCCGTGACTCTCGCCCTCTCTCTCTCTCTCTCTCTGCCCACATTGCTTGGCAAATTGTTGCTTCAGATCTACAATCTCTCTTTTTCTTCGGAAAATGGAGGGCCAAAGAGGCAGTAATTCTTCACTGAGCTCTGGCAATGGCAACGAAGTCGCCGCCGACGTTTCTTCTTGCTTTTATGTTCCCAATCCCTCTGGGACCGACTTCGATGCCGAATCGCCTTCTCTTCCTCCTCTGTAAGTTTTTAAGCTGCTTGATCCTTCTTCCTCTTCTACTACTCTGTCACTCCACTCGTCTCTGAATTTCCAAACATTACTCTTCCCTCAGCTCGCCAGCTCCACAAGTGGCCTTGTCAATTCCTGCCGAACTTGCTGCCGCCATTCCGCTCATCGATCGCTTCCAGGTTGAAGCTTTTCTGCGGCTTATGCAGAAGCAAATCCAGTCTGGCGGCAAGCGTGGCTTCTTCTACTCCAAAAAGTCGTCGGGCTCTCATGTCCGGGAGCGCTTCACTTTCGAGGACATGCTTTGCTTTCAGAAGGTTTTTTTGTTTGTTTCCCTCTCCAGCAACAACGAACCATTGACTTTTGACTTTTTGTGTGCTTAATTGTATGTAATGCCTCTCTCTCCCTCTCTCCCTTCAGGATCCCATTCCCACGTCCCTGCTCAAGATTAACAGCGATCTCGTCAGCCGTGCTACCAAGTTGTTTCATCTCATCTTAAAGTATATGGGCGTTGATTCATCTGATCGATCAACGCCACCCAGTCTAGATGAACGCATTGAGCTTGTTGGAAAGCTGTTCAAGAAAACTTTGAAGCGTGTTGAACTTAGGGACGAACTTTTTGCCCAGATCTCTAAACAAACTAGACATAATCCTGATAGGTTGTTATTTCTCTCCCCCCACTTAGTTAATAGTTATATGAGCATATCATGTCCTTTTTTAGTCCGTTACATTTTTCCCTGTTTTGGCATTTTGTCAGGCAATACTTGATAAAAGCTTGGGAGTTGATGTACTTATGTGCGTCCTCAATGCCTCCTAGCAAAGATATTGGCGGATATCTATCTGAGTATATTCATAATATGGCTCATGATGCATCGATTGAACCCGAGGCCCAGATTCTTGCTGCAAATACTTTGAAGGCTCTTAAGCGCTCTATCAAAGCTGGTCCTAGACATACCACGCCTGGCCGTGAAGAAATTGAAGCCCTCCTGACCGGTAGAAAGCTCACCACTATAGTCTTCTTTCTGGATGAAACTTTTGAAGAAATATCATATGACATGGCTACCACAGTGTCTGATGCTGTTGAGGTATCTTTTTCAATACCTTTTTTTTTTTTTTATCATATTTTGGTAGTAAAAGCTAGTTATGCTTTCCTTCTAATAACTTCTTCAACCATTTGTTTTCATTTGTCCCTTTTTTTTTTTGTTTAACATCTCTCACTGCATTGACTTATCTCTGTCAGGAGCTAGCTGGGACTATTAAATTATCGGCTTTCTCCAGCTTCAGTTTGTTCGAATGTCGTAAAGTTGTTTCAAGTTCGAAATCATCTGATCCTGGAAATGGTATGCTTTCATATGACTTCTTGATCATTGTTTTGAAGTAAGGCTACATTATCGATTGTTTCTCTGTCTGCCATTTGCAGAGGAATACATAGGACTGGATGATAACAAGTATATTGGAGATCTCCTCGCAGAATTCAAAGCTATAAAGGATAGAAATAAAGGAGAGATACTACACTGCAAACTAGTATTTAAAAAAAAATTATTCCGAGAGTCTGATGAAGCTGTAACAGATCTGATGTTTGTGCAACTGTCCTATGTACAAGTGAGCAATTTCCTTTAATTTTAAAATGTCCTATGTACAACTTGCCCTTCCTTGCTGCTGACACACATACATGCAGCTGCAACATGACTATTTGCTAGGAAACTATCCTGTTGGAAGGGACGATGCTGCTCAGCTTTGTGCCTTGCAAATTCTTGTTGGGATTGGGTTTGTCAGTAGCCCGGAGTCATGCATGTTAGTATTACAACTTTCTTAATTATTATAATTTATATCTTCATTTTTGCTTAGCTAAGCTGCGCAACTGTTTTGCCTTTTCTTTGGGTCATGTATCAGTGATTGGACTTCACTTCTTGAGCGGTTTTTGCCGAGGCAAATAGCAATAACCCGAGCAAAGCGTGAATGGGAATTGGATATCCTTGCTCGCTACCGTTCAATGGTAGGAATGTCCCAATCATTTCATTCAGTTGAATCTTTCCCTTTTCAGATATACTTGCCAGCTACAATCCCATTGAAGTGATAGCATTCTAAAAGGACCTTTCGTATTTGTGTTTGTGGGAATGTAGGAGAACGTGACCAAAGATGATGCTAGACAACAATTTCTACGGATATTGAAGGCACTGCCTTATGGGAACTCTGTGTTTTTTAGTGTACGGAAGATAGATGATCCGATTGGTCTTTTACCTGGACGAATCATTTTGGGCATCAACAAACGCGGGGTTAGTCTCAAACTAAATGTTTTTCATAATGACTCTTCAAAAAACAAAACTATTATTCATTAAAATCCTATTTTTGTTTTTGTTTTTTTTATTGTAGGTTCATTTCTTTCGACCGGTTCCTAAAGAGTATTTACACTCTGCTGAGTTACGGGACATAATGCAATTCGGCAGCAGTAACACTGCTGTCTTTTTCAAAATGAGAGTTGCTGGTGTTCTTCATATATTTCAGTTTGAGACAAAACAGGTAAAGCATCAGTATTTATAAATCATTATAACTGTGTAGCAATTCCTTACGAGAAATTCATTTTGAGCAACTTGTTGAGGTGAACCAACTTTTTCTTTTTCGTAGGGAGAAGAAATCTGTGTTGCTTTACAAACACATATAAATGATGTCATGTTGCGTCGTTACTCCAAAGCTAGATCTGCTGCCAATAGCTTGGTTAACGGAGATATATCCTGCAGCTCTAAGCCGCAAAATATTGAAGTGTATGAAAAACGCGTGCAAGATTTGTCCAAGGCCTTTGAAGAGTCCCAGAAAAAGATTGATAAGGTACATATTCTAACAGATTTCATTTCTTGGGGGGTCATGTAAAACTGAATTTATAGAGAGAAGGTTGTACTCTATTGGAAAACATGAAATAACATACTATTGTTGAATTTATCATGGTGGTTTATCTTCGACTGTTGTGAGATATTAGTACATATCACCCCCTCGTTATTTCCATGCTATTTTAAATGTAATGTTATATCCTGGTTAGAGTTGATTGCTGATGAACTATAACCATGTTGATGTTGTTCTATAGTTGATGGATGAACTGAAAGAGAAAAATCAAGAAGAAGTTACTTTGCGTGAAGAGTTCGAAGCTATACGCATTAGCTTAGAGCTTGAAAGGAAAAATTTGTTGGAGGTTACCTTAGACCGTGATAAACTTAAGTCGTTGTGTGATGAGAAGGGGACAACTATTCAAGTTAGTGATAACATCACTTTTTCTCTTCCTTTTGCTGCTTGGATGGAATTGTCTACTTATTCATTGTATGTATGCTCTAGACCTTGATGAGTGAACTGCGAGGATTGGAAGCAAGGTTGGCAAAGTCGGGCAACACTAAATCAAGTAAAGAGACAAAATCAGAATTAATTGAAATGAATAATCAGGTGAATATCATGTGTTTAAGTGTGATGCATAGTCGGTGTGCTTTAATTATTGAGTGTTTATGTTGTTCTTTGTGAGCAATTCTGTTTTTCGTCAACAATAAATTTTCTGTCACAGATATTATACAAGATCCAAAACGAGTTAGAAGTTCGAAATAAGGAATTGAACGCTGCAGTTGAGAATTCAAAAAGGTTGTTGAGTGAGAACAAGACATTGGAGCAAAGTATTTTCAATATCGAAAAAAAGAAAACAGAGGAGGTAAATTCTATTTATTAGATATATATATATATAGCCTATTTCAATTTGAGAAGTAGCATATACTTGAGCATTTTTGACTCTTTAATATTCCAGGTTGAAACTCACCAAAAGAGATATGAACAAGAAAGAAAGGTGTTAAAGCTTCGAGTTTCTGAACTTGAAAATAAGCTTGAAGTCCTTACACAGGACTTGGATAGTGCTGAGTCTACGATTGAACGTAAGAACTCTGACATGCTGCTGTTGCAGAATAACTTAAAAGAACTTGAGGAGTTAAGAGAAATGAAAGAGGTATTTGTACTTTATATTCATCTTCATCGTTTTGACTTTTTTGTTTGTTCTCATGGTAATATTGCATTTTCATGGTTTTGCTGAAAACTAAACTAGAAGTTTGGTGTTTACGTTCCACTTTTATGTTTTTAGGATATTGACAGAAAAAATGAGCAAACAGCTGCCATTTTGAAGATGCAAGGAGCCCAACTTGCTGAGCTAGAATTACTTTACAAGGAAGAACAAGTTCTAAGGAAAAGATACTATAATACCATAGAAGGTAACATGATGCTCAAGTATTTACAACGAAACTCATTCCTGGCTTTTTGAAATTTATTTATATCTACTTTGGTTTGTATTTAATTGCAGATATGAAGGGGAAAATTAGAGTGTATTGTCGAATAAGACCTATAAATGAAAAAGAGAGTTTAGAAAAAGAAAAACGAATGCTAACAACTGTTGATGAGTTTACAGTCGAACATCCATGGAAAGACGACAAAAGAAAGCAACACATCTATGATCGCGTGTTTGACATGCGTGCTAGTCAAGATGATGTCTTTGAAGACACAAAGGTATAATTGATATGTGATTATGTTCATTTTACCCTCTCATCATTTGATATGTTGTTGCGTGGACTTACATGTTTTTTTTTGTAACAGTATTTGGTACAGTCCGCTGTAGATGGTTATAATGTGTGCATCTTCGCATATGGTCAAACTGGTTCTGGAAAAACTTTCACAATATATGGGCATGAGCAAAATCCTGGACTTACACCTCGAGCTACAAAGGAACTTTTCAAAATATTAAAGCGAGATAGCAACAGATTTTCATTTTCTCTAAAGGTGATTTGTTATCCTAAGAGTACGTTGGGATAAAAGGTTTTGGCACCAAATGACAAAGAAAAAATTATGCAGGCATACATGGTGGAACTTTATCAAGACACACTTGTAGACCTTCTGTTACCAAAAAGTGCAAGACGCTTGAAGCTAGAGGTTAAAAAAGATTCTAAGGTAATTTATATCTATATAAATTTAAGTTTGTAGAGCCATTAGTTTGATCTCATGCGTAAGATACTTTTTCAGGGTATGGTCTTTGTAGAGAATGTGACTACTATTCCTATATCAACTTTGGAGGAATTACGAATGATTATCGAAAGAGGATCTGAGCGAAGACATGTTTCCGGAACAAATATGAATGAAGAAAGCTCAAGATCGCACCTAATACTTTCAGTTGTTATTGAAAGTATTGATCTTCAAACCCAATCTGCTGCAAGGGGCAAGGTGACAATTTTCGGAATTTTGGTTTTCTTATTGACTCAATAATCCTTTTTTCACAAAATATTACTAGCATTGAGGGATTTCAATGAAAATTGAATTTCTTTGAATTTTCATGCTTGGTCTCGTATATAAGCAAAAATATAGTGATATTTATCTTGCCCAAGAGAAAAATAGTTTAACATCATCAGATGTATTCCTCAAATCCTTAGTTTGGTTCAAATGTTTATTTACCGTAGTGTGGATCCATATAATTGAACAATAAGACAATGGTTAAACCTTCAATTGTCCTTATAATGTCGTTAACTTAATAATTGTCTTGGATAATATGAGAAATGATTATTTTCCATGGTGGTATAATCGATAATATTTGTTGTTATTTGTTAATTTGCAGTTGAGCTTTGTGGATCTTGCTGGTTCTGAGAGAGTAAAAAAGTCAGGCTCTGCTGGTTGCCAACTCAAAGAAGCTCAAAGTATAAACAAATCACTTTCTGCATTAGGTGATGTTATTGGTGCTTTGTCTTCTGGCAACCAGCATATTCCTTACAGGAATCACAAGTTAACAATGTTGATGAGCGATTCATTGGGAGGCAATGCGAAGACGTTAATGTTTGTCAATGTGTCTCCAGCAGAATCAAATTTGGATGAGACATACAATTCTCTTTTGTAAGTCCTGAATTCCCTATATATAATGTCCATAAGATTGTTAAATAGCTAGAGTGACCGTTGACATAGAACTTTAAATGGAACTTTGTCAGATTTAACATCCATTTTATATCCTACTTTGACCAAGTGCAGGTATGCATCGAGAGTGAGAACAATTGTGAATGATCCTAGCAAACATATTTCATCCAAAGAGATGGTGCGATTGAAAAAGTTGGTAGCATATTGGAAAGAACAAGCCGGTAAAAAGAGTGAAGAAGAAGACTTGGTGGAAATCGACGAAGATCGCACACCAAGAGATGAGACTAATAGTTAAAGGATGCTGACATGGAATTCTTGTAGGTGAAATTGAGATGATAGTATCACTGGTTTTCACTATTCTTTTTGTAGGAAGTTCATACTCTAAAATAGAGTCTTCATTGGAATGTAATGCTACGAGTTTCAAACTTTATCTTTTGATGAGATCTTAATTTCAAGAACAGATCGTAGATATTACCAAACACAATGCCATCGAGAACTTTAGAGACAAGAACGAAAGTGAAAAAGTAAAAGGATAACACAAAATGATAAGTTGACTTGTTAGGTACCATACTAGTAGAATTATACAAAGTATTTTGTGGCAACATGGAATAGTAGAAAAAATATGATAATCTATACTGTCTCTCTCCCACACCTTGACACACCTTTGTGGTGATGACATGTGGTATTTACAAAATAAAATAAATTAATCAAACCATTTTTCATAATAAAATAGTATATAAGTAAGATTAATAACATATTATTTCATTTTTATCAAAATTTGTCAAAACTTGTAGGTGTTAACCCATAAATATTTGGCAAAATTGATGAATTTTGAGTTTTTTTCTAAATTAATGATTGGAAGGTGTCTAAAGTGAAAATAAATTGATCCAACTGTTTTTCATAAGAAAAGATAATCTAAGGAAGACTAATAACAAATTAATCCAATTTTTTCAAAATTTGTCAAAACTCATAGGTGTTAGCCCACAAATATTGGCAAAATTGATAAATTTTGAGGTTTTTCTAAATTAATGACTGGAATGTGTTTAAAGTGAAAATAAATTGATCCAACCATTTTTCATAATAAAAGAGTATATAAGTAAGCCTAACAACATATTATTCCAATTTTTTTCAAAATTTGTTAAAACTCGTAGGTGTTAGCCCACAAATATTGGCAAAATTGATAAATTTTGAAGTTTCTAAATTAATGATTAGAAGGTGTTTTTTTTTTTTTTTTGAACAACTTTTCATTAGATTAAACTTAAACTGCGATTACAGAAGGAAGCTGAAAGCTCTTTGCCAAGAGTAGAAGCAGCTTGATGCAGAAATGAAATACAAAGCAATAAAAGGATAGGTTAGACAGTTTAGATCAACGATAAAAACTGGAAGTTTCTTCATAAGGGCTTCAACAATCGTTTTGAAAACAATCTCGAGTTCGTTTGCTATTGAAAGCGAGTGAACAAGATAAATAGCTTGTGGTGACGCAGTCAAGGCTGTTGAGCGTTTAGAGTCGATCTCCATAATGGAGAGAGGCAGGTTCAGAGGTACTCCAGTAAATTGGTGATACTCTTGAACGGCCGATGTAGGATTAGAGATACGCCAACAAGTTAGGAGTACTCTTGAACCCAAGTCGAAATAATCCGATGATAACCCGGCAGATGATCCGGTAGATGCGACAGTGAATAGCATGAAATCCTGTCGACCGCTATACAAAAGCATGAAAAAGGTGGAGCTTGAGCGGGAAATGATGGGCTCAGCCCATAGATTGAGCAGAGCTGGGAGGTTAAACTGTTAATCGACTCCGGGAAAGACTTCAGAGTGATGGACGATTTTGGCCAATGAAAACACAGCAGTGAAGGGAGGTAGGTAGTGGTGGGAAGAGTTTGACAATGATGATGTTGTGTCGGAGAGGGATGAGCGGGTTGGTGAGGTCGGAGAAGCTAGATCTAAACTGAAAATAAATTGTTCAAACCATCTTTCATAGGAAAAGAGAATCTAAGGAAGATTAGTAACACATTATTCCAAAACTTTTCAAAATTTTTAAAAACTCGTAAGTGGTTAGCCCATAAATATAGGCAAAATTGATAAATTTTGAGGTTTTTATAAATTAATGATAGGAATGTGTCTAAATTGGAAATAAATTGTTCAAACCATTTTTCATAGGAAAAGAGAATCTAAGGAAGACTAATAACACATTATTCCAAATTTTTTCAAAATTTGTAAAAATTCGTAGGTGTTAGCCCACAAATATAGGCAAAATTGATAAATTTTGAGGTTTTTATAAATTAATGTTTGGGAGGTGTCAAAATTGGAAATAAATTGTTCAAACCATTTTTCATAGGAAAAGGGAATATAAGGAAGACTAATAACACATTTTTTCAATTTTTTCAAAATTTGTAAAAATTCGTAGGTGTTAGCCAACAAATATTAGCAAAATTGATAAATTTTGAGGCATTTCTAAATTAAAGATTGGAAGGTGTCTAAATTGAAAATATATTGTTCCAACCATTTTCATAGGAAAATAGAATCTAAGGAAGACTAATAACACATTATTCCAATTTTTTCAAAATTTGTAAAAAGTCGTAGGTGTTAGCCCACAAATATTAGCAAAATTGATAAATTTTAAGGTTTTTCTAAATTAAAGATTGGAAGGTGTCTAAATTGAAAATATATTGTTCCAACCATTTTTCATAGGAAAAGAGAATCTAAAGAAGACTAGTAACACATTATTCCATTTTTTTCAAAATTTGTAAAAACTCGTGGGTGTTAGCCCACAAATATAGGCAAAATTGATAAATTTTAAGGTTTTTATAAATTAATGTTTGGGAGGTGTCTAAATTGGAAATAAATTGTCCAAACCATTTTTCATAGGAAAAGAGAATATAAGGAAAACTAATAACACATTATTCCAATTTTTTCAAAATTTGTAAAAATCCGTAGGTGTTAGCCCACAAATATAGGCAAAATTGATAAATTTTAAGGTTTTTATAAATTAATGTTTGGGAGGTGTCAAAATTGGAAATAAATTGTTCAAACAATTTTTCATAGGAAAAGGGAATATAAGGAAGACTAATAACACATTATTTCAAAATTTGTAGGTGTTAACTCACAAATATAGGCAAAATTGATAAATTTTGAGGTTTTTATAAAATAATGTTTGGGAGGTGTCTAAATAGGAAATAAATTGTTCAAACCATTTTTCATAGGAAAAGAGAATATAAGGAAGACTAATAACACATTATTCCAAATTTTTTCAAAATTTGTAAAAATTCGTAGGTGTTAGCCCACAAATATAGGCAAAATTGATAAATTTTGAGGTTTTTCTAAATTAAATATTGGAATGTGTCTAAATTGAAAATATATTGTTCCAACCATTTTTCATATGAAAAGAGAATATAAGGAAGACTAATAACACATTATTCCAATTTTTTCAAAATTCGTAGGTGTTAGCCAACAAATATTAGCAAAATTGATAAATTTTGAGACTTTTCTAAACTAAAGATTAGAAGGTGTCTAAATTGAAAATATATTGTTCCAACCATTTTCCATAGGAAAAGAGAATCTAAGGAAGACTAATAACACATTATTCCAATTTTTTCAAAATTTGTAAAAACTCGTAGGTGTTAGCCCACAAATATTGGCAAAATTGATAAATTTTGAGGTTTTCTAAATTAATGATTGAATGGTGTCTAAATTGATAATGTACTGTTCCGACCATTTTCATAGGAAAAGAGAATATAAGGAAGTCTAATAACACATTATTTCAATTTTTTCAAAATTTGTAAAAATTTGTAGATGTTAGCATACAAATATAGGCAAAATTGATAAATTTTGAGGTTTTTATAAATTAATTTTTGGGAGGTGTCTAAATTGGAAATAAATTGTTCAAACCATTTTTCATAGGAAAAGAGAATATAAGGAAGACTAATAACACATTATTGCAATTTCTTCAAAAATTGTAGGTGTTAGCCTACAAATATTAGCAAAATTGATAAATTTTGAGGTTTTTCTAAATTAAATATTGGAAGGTGTCTAAATTGATATTGTTCCAATCATTTTTCATAGGAAAAGAGAATCTAAGGAAGACTAGTAACACATTATTCCAATTTTTTCAAAATTTGTAAAACTTTGTAGGTGTTAGCCTACAAATATAGGCAAAATTGATAAATTTTAAGGTTTTTTATAAATTAATGTTTAGGAGGTGTCTAAATTGGAAATAAATTGTTCAAACCATTTTTCATAGGAAAAGAGAATATAAGGAAGACTAATAACAAATTTTTCAAAATTTGTAAAAATTCGTAGATGTTAACCTACAAATATAGGCAAAATTGATAAATTTTGAGATTTTTATAAATTAATGTTTGGGAGGTGTCTAAATTGGAAATAAATTGTTCAAACTATTTTTCATAGGAAAAGAGAATATAAGGAAGACTAATAACACATTATTCTAATTTTTTCAAAATTTGTAAAAATTCGTAGGTATTAACCTACAAATATTAGCAAAATTGATAAATTTTGAGGTTTTTCTAAATTAAAGATTTGAAGGTGTCTAAATTGAATATATATTGTTCCAACCATTTTTCATAGGAAAAGAGAATCTAAAGAAGACTAATAACACATTATTCCAATTTTTTCAAAATTTGTCAAAACTCGTAGGTGTTAGCCCACAAATATTTGCAAAATTGATAAATTTTGAGGTTCTTTTAAATTAATGATTGGAAGGTGTCTAAAGTAAAAATAAATTGATCCAACATTTTTTCATAGTAAAAGCGTATATAAGAAAGAATAATAACATGTTATTACATTTTTTTCAAAATTGTCAAAACTCTTAGGTGTTAGCCCACAAATATTGGCAAAATTGATAGATTTTGAGGTTTTTCTAAATAAATGATTGGACGGTGGCTAAAGTGAAATTAAATTGATTCAACCATTTTTATAGTTAAAGAGTATCTTTTTTTTTTGAACATCAGTTTAAGAGTATCTAAGAAAGAATAATAATATATTATTCCAATTTTTTTTTCAAAATTTGTCAAACCTCGTAGGTGTTAGTCCACAAATATTGGCAAAATTAATAAATTTTGTGGTTCTTCTAAATTAATGATTGAAATGTGTCTAAAGTAATAATAAATTGATCCAACCTTTTTTCATAATAAAAGGTATCTAAGAAAGAATATAAAATATTATTCTAATTTTTTTCAAAATTTATCAAAACTCATAGGTGTTAGCCCACAAATATTGGCAAAATTGATAAATTTGGAGGTTTTTCTAAATTAAAGATTGGAAGGTATCTAAAGTAAAAATAAAATGATCCAACCATTTTTCATAGTAAAAGGGTATCTAAGAAAGAATATCAAATATTATTCCAATTTTTAAAAAATTGTCAAAACTTGTCGGTGTTAGCACACAAATATTGGCAAAATTGTTAGATTTTGAAGTTTCTCTAAATTATTGATTGAAAGGTGTGTAAAGTGAAAATAAATTGATCAAACCATTTTTCATAGTAAAAGATTAGCTAAGAAATAATTAGTATTTATTTTAATGCATCATCAATATATTCATTAATAATATAATTTTTAAAAAATAATTAGTAATTATTTCATATTTAAATTATATTTATTAAATTTTTATGACATTAAATATTTATTTTATGAATAATACATTAATGATACATCAATTACGAAATTATAAAACTATAAATTTAATATAATTTTTTAACAAAATAAATAATTTATTATAATATATTTAAGATTTTTTAAATATTATTGAGCTCAGTGCTTTGGAAATGCTCCATTTCAGAGCACGGAGGGAATGAGCAGTTTCTAAATGCTCTACTAAATGCCCTTTTAAAAAAACTTGATTGGAATAGAAAGAGTTTAATGCTCTATCAATCAAGGCCTAAATTAATGATTGGAAGGTGTTTAAAGTAAAAATAAATTGATGTAACCATTTTTCATAGTAAAAGGGTATTAAAAAAGAATAATAACATATTCTTCCATTTTTTAAAAATCTGTCAAAACTCGTAGATGTTAGCCCACAAATATTGGCAAAATTTATAAATTTTGAGGTTTTTCTAAATTTACGATTGGAAAATGTAAAAATAAATTGATCAAACCATTTTTCATAGTAAAATGGTATCTAAGAATGACTAATAACATATTATTTCATTTTTTCCCATACATATTGGCAAAATTGATAATTTTTGAGGTTTTTCTAAATTAATGATTAGAAGGTGTCTAAAGTACAAATAAATTGATGCAACCATTTTTCATACTAAAATGGTATATTATTGATAAATTTTGAGGTTTTTTAAAAATTGATGATTGGAAGATGTCTAAAGTGAACAAAAAAAATTGATTCAACCATTTTTCATAGTAAAAGGGTATATAAGAAAGACTAATACCATATTATTCAATTTTTTTCAAAATTTGTAATAACCCGTAATTGTTAGCACACAAGTATTAGCAAAACTGATTTTTTTTGAGGTTTTTATAAATTAATGATTGCAAGGTGTCTAAAGTGAAAATAAATTGATTCAATCATTTTTCCATAATAGAAGGGTATATAACAAAGAATAATAACATATTAAATCATTTTTTTCAAAATTTGTCAAAACGAATAGGTGTTGGTTCACAAATATTGGTAAAATTGATAAATTTTCAAAAAATTCTAATTGAATGATATTTCAACAA